AGTGAGCCGAATTAGCTCCTGGAGATGTGACGTCAACGCCTTAGGTGCAAAGAGCCCATTGCATTGAGGGGATTAGAGAAATGGGTCATAAAGTAGTAAAGGTTTTGTAATCGGGTCGAGCCGCATTATTGGTAGTGTACTTTTACTCCAGTACATCTCCAATAGTGGGGCATGTTTAATAGACAGGCCTCCGGCCACTAGGTGGAAGCAGGGTTCACACTGATTCACACTTGGAATGGTTTTAGAACAATCAAACAGATGTTTTGATAATCAGGTGTACAGTGCTAGAGCCACAGATAAGTTATAAGACATTATTGGGTTGGCACCAGTATTTAAAGGGGAACCAGTTAGGAAATAGAGAACCACAGGATTAGGTTAGGGTTGTAAATTTGAGCAAATGACAGGTAGAATTATAGTATTTGTTTTTACTAAACAAATATTTGGAAATGTATATTTTGGTGTAAATACACATTCAGTCGATCTGCTTTTGTTTATTTCCTTTATTCTGATTTGCTTTAACTCATCAATAATTAAGACGTTGGTTTGGTGTGAGGAACGTAGCGTAGCATCAGTGAATCTGTGATCGATCTCATTGGTCTGCTGAATAAACTTCATGAATCCTGGTTTGGTCTGAACGGATGAAACCAGGATGGAGTCAAGTCGGGATCATCTGATTATTGATTAATTGATTTTTATTTGTTCCCTGCAGGCGTGGGAACCCGCTCCACCTTTGCTCAGAGCGCTATCAGAAGATCGAGCGTCTGTGGCGGCAGCACGGCATTGCTGAGGTCATAGGTCATGCTCAGGAGGCCAATCAGACGCTGGTTGCCATCGACTGGCAGCACCTGTGACCGCGGACTGGCCCTGCCCACTAACGAACCTCTTTGAACCAATCAGCTCGCTGCAGCTGCAACCTGAAGTCGGAGCAGCTTTCAGGGATTTTTTAGGGTGTTCGGATCCTGACCTTTGACCTCTGATTGTCACCTCTTCCCCCTCAGTCCTCCAATCAGACATCACCTCTTCAGGAGTTGTCGTGATTGGCTGGAGGTCAGGTGATTTATGTCAGGTGTACATTGCATTTTGATAGACTGGGTCTCCATGGCAACCCAGGTGACAGTAATCGGCTTACTCCCTGAGACATCATTATGAAAACTTCAGCCAATCGGAAGCCAGAACTGTGCGAACGACGCCGTTGGTCCACCGTCTCCATGGCAACCAGGTCGATGAGCCGAGTCTGATCGGGTTTTATTCACTTCCGCTTTAATGTTTTAATTAACGAGGTGAGCGTGTGACATCACTTCCCGTTTGTGTGTTTGAGTTTGGGGAGGCGGAGCGTCAGAACCGGACCAGAACCGGACTGGGTCCGGCTGATGCTCCGTCTTGGTAATGTCACTTTAACCTGTAGAACAGAACCAATAAAATGGGCTTTAAAGAACCTCTGAGTCCAGT